ATCCCTTTCACAATGTGCTAGATGATGTATAAGTACATAGCCTGAACTCAGCATCTTAAGGAATTACAAACAGAATTTAAGCGAAGTCCTGGATCACTTGTTAGCTGACTTTGCTAGAGGACAGCTCAGACAGAAGAGAATCTTTGTTGATGCTAAAACTTCCTTTGAGGCTCTCATATTTATAAAACATACTCGTATGTACTTCTATATTCATTAAGGTGAATAAGCTTATATTGTTGAGCATATATCAAGTAATGTTTCCATATTTATTAAGGTGAATAAGCAAACTTGATACATATTTACACTATATATAGATTGTAAAAGAATGTACTGCTGATAATGCAGAATGAATATCTAACTATATAGGATGGCATATTTATCATTAGTTGTCTTTTTGATGCATGACTGCTAACAGGAAAGTACAATTCTAACTATACCTTTGGACTACTTAAATTATTTTCCATTTTACACTCAGGATATTTTTGGATTTTAATATTCTTTTTTATAAGATATTAGCCAGAGGTCTAAGATTGCTCACATCTCTACAGGGGGACATAAAAGAGAAACAGAGAGAAAGACTGGGACTTTTTAATATGTGGATTTGATAAAGTTGTACTTTAATTGCTGCTATCATAGTGGTTAAGAAGCAGTTATTGTTGATTATCTGAAAATCACTTAAGAAATTTCCATTAATATCATAGTTTAAAAGCTTTTTTGGAAGAAATAGTTTAGCTTCTTTGTGAACATGGTGAATATTTTATATTTTGTTATAGAAAACAGCATGCACGTTTCCAACAAGAGAGTGTCCTTCCCATAACACCTCAAATAACATATTCAATTTAAAATGTAAGCATGACATTCAGGCTTCATTTGCTGTTGGTGTCAATCTAAAAAAATATAAATTGATGCAGACAGAAAATTCTAATCTGATGCCCTTAGGGCCAGATCCAATAAAACACTTAGGCATCTAAATTTGGTGTTAAAGCAACTAACTTTTAGGTGTTTGTCCCCCAAAAGGAAATCTTGTGTTGAAGTGAACTGGGTCTTACATTCCTATATAATGCATAGGGTAGGTATTGTCAGGCAGGTACCAGTTACAGGATGTTAAGAGCATCCACTGCTTCCAGCATGAATTAATTTTACCCAAACCAGGTACTGCAAAATGGGATCTAATCAAATTAACAAGTAGAACTATAGTCTGTCTGAAGTCTACAGGAAATCATAAGCGGCTATCTGGAATGAGTAAATAGAGAAAATCTGGCAATAGGACTGAGCTATAAATTCCGCCTTGCAGACCCTGTATGACCAGAGTCTGGCTCATAAGGGCAAAGGGATGGTGGAAAAATATACGTCCGTCTTTTACACAAAACACAGAGATTAGGGATTGTGCCCAGGTGATGTGTCACAAGTTCAGTTCTCTCTTCTGCCTACAAGGAATTAGGATCCACATCTCCAAGGAGTGTGTGTTTAACTTTCATTGATTATTTTGAACTCTTCAGATCAATGAGTAAGAAGAGGACCAGGATTCAGCAGTTTAGCCCTTAGATTTTCTGCTTGGTCCTCCTTCCTATGCTATTTTCAGATTTAACAGACAACATTGCTGAAGAGCTGAATGAATACTCAGCCCCATAGAAAAGATCAAAAATACACTTCTCGTAACTTCAGACAGGGAGATCTGCAGGACCTCAGCTAACAGCTGAGCAAGGATAAATGATAAAATATACCTTACCAAAATTGAGAGACTATCTAGAGCAAACTCTTTGAGTCATAGAAACTTTACTTTACCTGAAAAGACTCAAAGCCTTATTTTTAATGTAAAAAAAAAGAATGGATCTTTTCTATTATGCCTCCTATACTTCACCTAAGTCCTTCTTGTGAAATCTGACCTAATAAAACCAAATGTGCATCATCAAATAGTCCATAATTACAGGTTACAAAATTAGATACATTGGTTTGATGATGGCTGTCAAGTACTTGAACTAACATCGTGTACTTGAACTTACCCCCTTCTTCCCAGGTTCATTGGCACTTCTACAGCCTGCTCTCAGTAAATTTGGAAAATCTGCTATGTTCTAATAAGGAAAAAATCCTGGAAATCTAGGGTAATTGACTTCTCTGGTTACAGAGATAATGACATCTTGAGTTATGTATGAACCGTGGGGAAAAAGTGCTCTACAGTGTCTCCTGCAGTAACCCTAGAAGAGACTACAAACCTGGCTGGACCATAACATAACCCTTTGCAAATCTAAGTTTTCTTCTCATGGAACCCAGGGAGTGGGTGGAACTTCAGACATGTGCATTGGGTCTTGCCCCAACATGAAGCTAGGATGTGGCCAAGTTGCACATCTGGAGTCAGCAGCTGGAAAATGTTCCCAACACCCACAGTTTCCACATGACCTTTGAGAACAGAAATGTCCTGGTTCCCTGCAACGAATTTGACCTGATGCAAACTTTCCAGTTTTAACAGGCAGCAAATCAGATAGGTAGAACCTGATTTGATTCTTGGTGAGACAATGATAACCTGACTCCAATGGAAGGTGGTCACCCAAGGCTGCACACACCACAACCTGAGAACAGATTTTAAACATAGTCTAAGGGCAAATTTAAAAAAAAAAAAAAATCCAAACGAAATGGCACAAGAGAGTTACTGGTAGTTTAAACCACCACAGTAAAATATATATTTTTGCTGCCCATAATGATTCTGGCTGAATTTTTAATAGAAATGCATATAATATTCAAAAGACTGAATACCCTCAAACTGGTATTCAGTTTGCAAGTGGCAAAGAACTGTTTCTAAATATATTACACTAAACTGTGTGGACTGGGTACATTAACTCCTTTTCTTTATGTTAATAACAGATAGATGGTATTTTCTCTCCTGTATCCAACTCATAGATCAGGTTAGACAAATGATTCACCTCTCTGACATAAGCTAAGTCCTTTCCAAAATCTGATACATTGATCAGTTGTCTCTGTTATAACTTTCCCCCTTTAAATTCACCATTGACCTGAGCTCAGATTCCTTCTGAGATTACTTTTTTTTCATTCTTTTAATGGAAAGGGGACAAGAAGAGAAAAGATGGGGCCTCCTTTACTAGGCAGGATCTCCCAGGTTCTTCCGGGTTCAATTAAACGCCATTTTAGCTGATAGATTTCTCCCAACAAAGTGGCTTAAAAGAAAATGTAATAATGTTTAAATGTTTTGTGATACTTATTCAGAATTTCTGTTTTCCTTTCTTTCTTTTGGGGCTTCAACAATAAAAGTACCACCACCTACCTATGTTTGTTTGCATTTTTAAATATGATTGCATTCTGACTGATTTGCAGTGGTAAGCAACAGTTTGGAAATCTGATTGCAAGCTCACAGTGACAGAAGTAGATAATTACTATCTCCACAAATATCTCTAAGTTAAATCACTTGTTTTAATACAGATTAGATTAGTATTAAAGTTACAAGATTGGTATGTGAGACATGATAAATGTAGTCATGACAGAAAACAATTTTTAATTTAGTATGCCCTATCAATCTAGATAGCCCATGAATATTTACCATTAATTCAGTAGGCTGGAACAGAGGGGAAAAAAAGAACAAAAAATAGAAGGTTTGACCTAAACAAGGACTGAGGGAAAAAGAGAGTTCTCAGCAGTTTTACTGAGAACATATCTTGCAAAAACGTGAACTGGCAACAGATTGGAAAATACATTTGCGGTACCATTAGAAACAAAGCTTTTAAAAAACCTGAATGACATGCGAAAATAGTCACAATTCTTAATATGTACTTCTCTTTGCAGGATTTGCCAGTCTGATTACACTTAAATGAGTAACTTCAAAGGCTGAAATAAAATCATTTATGGAAATTCAAAACAAACCTATTTGATCACATCATACTTCACAGCGGGGATACAATTTGCAGGGGCTGAGTGAGGGCACAGTATAAGCTAAAACAGGTTGTGTGTGCAATGAACCAAACTAAATGGTTTATATAAAAGAAATGTTGTTTCCATTAATTTTTCTGGTAATCCTATTAAAAATGCCACCTGTCCAGAATAGAATTGTCCAGATTTTAATTCTTTTTCATATCTCAGTGTTCAAACACAAGACAGAGAATGTATCATAGCTATTAAAATATGGCACAAAATGTCTTATTCTAAAATCTTCATTACTGCAGCAGTTTGTCTGGCTCTGTTTCAATGTCTGACTATTACACCTTTTACTTTTCTTCTCATTGTGCTCAAAGAACTGATTTTTCTGATAAGCCCAAAGAATATATTTTTTAAGGATATGTCACATTACTAAACTTTCACCATAATGTTTCTAGTCTGTAACAGTTAAAACTCTCATGTACTAAGTAAACATAACACATTGAATACACCTTTTAAAATTCCACCACCAACCCTCCAAAATCCCCTGTAACAAGCCTGAACAGAAACGTAACTTTGAATACCAACAGAGATGAAATGGTGTCATAATCAGCATAAGTGCATGCGGACTATTCACCTAGATCAAACACTTTGGTCATATACTCAATTAAATTTAAATCCCATTATATAATGTGTACCAGCCTCATTTTATGCAATTCCCTAATTTAATGGCTTGGTATTAGCCTTTTTCCTTTTTGCACACATGGACTAATTTTCACGGTGCTCAGTCCCTTTAGGAAGTAGGTCATTAAAGTCAACTGGATGGAGACAGAAACTTAATATCTAAACAGTGTTGTATAAGGACCAGAGACACAATAGTAATATAAAACTGGTTTTCACTCATCCCTCTTTGTAATATTTAAGAAATTCCTCCCTCATATAAATATTCTTCATTAATCTCAAGGACCACAAAGTACAAGAATCAAGAAAGCTATCATCCTGTTATAATTTAACTTGTGAAACAATAAAAAATAAAAACAAAATATCCCAATTTAAAAAATAATAATTATAATACTATTTAGCTGCTGAGAGAATACTGATTTTACACTGAAAGAGTAAAATCATAATATTCATATTACCTTTCTCAATGTGTATTCTTTTTGTCTCATGTCCCACGTCATGACCAGCCAGATCACCCTCCTTTGGACCAGGCAGGACATTAGGTGACAAACCCATCAGCATTTGGTTCATAGATAGCCCGTTCTGATGGACAGCTGCTAGACACAAGCGCAGGCAGAAAGAAAATCAGCCGTCATAGTAACAATGCACTTTTGTACTTATTTTATATCATCTTCCTCTTAATTATACAAGAATTCTAACAATTGCAAAGTTACTTAATTATTGCTATCAGTATCCACACAGCGGGAGAGTTTCTTCCTGTTACTTCTGGCTTAAAACAATTCATTTTAAAAAGAAGACTTCAGTATCTTTGGGCAAAGTTGGATATTTGCAAACATTTTCCTGTTTATTTAACAAGAACTGAAAGGCAAAATGAAGCAAACCAGAAAAGAATAGAAGGTTCTACTAGAGATACTGATTTATATTTTTTAAGTTAGTTGTATGAAAGCTCTTGTAGATTAGCCTTCCCAACATGCAGTCCCTATCCCTAACTCCTTTAAATGAAGCATTGTGGCCTTCTAGGTGATAAACAGTTTTTCAAAATATACTATGCAACAGCAGAATTGTGTATTTGCTCCTCAGATAGCTTGAAAAGCTCTTTCCAACAGTTCTCAAACAGACCTTCATGAGTCTCAAACACACCTCAGAAACCCATATAAGGCAGTTTATATACCTAAGCTTCTATCCTGAAAAAACTGTATTTGCAAGAGGTTTATGCCATTTTCATTAAAGCGTTTTTTCATATGCAACCCATATTTCTGTAGTAAATTTACACTTGCTGGCAGCACAAAACCAGAGGTGCTTAAGAATCAGGTGTCATGTTAACAAATCAGATAGGAGAGAAAAGTTATTTTATAATAAATAAGTTACTGAAGTGATCCAGTATTTAAGGAACTCTGTTATGTTCACATTGGAAGAAATAACATACAAAGGTCCCACTCCTCTCTCTCTCCTCCTAAGTAAGCAGAGTAAGCTGAACAGTGCCAGTGCTTAGAAGAAAAAAGTGCCATTCCTTAGCAAAAACAATAAGCATCACTCAATTTACTTTACTTTTTTTTTTTTCATTTAAAGAACAACGGAAAAGGTCTTCAACAGTTGTAAAAAATATATACTATTCAGTCAATTTTTAAAAAAATTAAAAATGCAGGGCTCTGAGATTTTTTTTCCCAGAACTTTACTTATGAATCTTTTAATATTTATTAAATTTGCAGTTTAATCTGCACTCTGAATTGTCCAAGTGATAAGAAAACAGAGTTTTCAGCTTGTCATGGCCAGGCTTCATTTATTTTCTTTGGTAAATCATTTTTCATCACATAGTAATGTAAGATCTTTCATCTGAAGGTCAATGACGAGTCAGCTTCCTGAGTCTGCGGAGAGCCTGAAAGGAAGCAGTCTCAAGACACATGTACTGCATCTAATCAACATGATTATGTATTTGATATAGCTATTTCATGGCCTTCTATCTGCATGCCAAATCCTCCATTTTCACCTACTGAAAAATTCCACTGTGGAAAGATGCTTTAAAAGCACAAGAACCTGCAATGGAGCAATAATAAAAGGAATGGGCAAGTATAATATGAATTTAAGTAAATATGCATAAAATAATATGTGTTTAAAATCTTGATTTCCAGGCAGTTGCACTGGAATATCATAGAATTCAGGGTCTTTGCCATGTAATTTACATCCTGGATGGATACTTGATACAAATGGTATCAATCTGAGATACTATGGTTTAATTTCACTCCACGCCTTGTGAGCTATGAAGTGATAATACTCTCTGTATTGTATTTCTCACAATTACAAATTCTTATATTTAAAAAAAATATAAAGTATGGATATTGTTAAATTGACTTAACCTAATTCTTCTCTTTACCAAGCAATTCTACCATGTAAAATGTTGCTTAGGAAGTCAGATTCAATTTAGAAACCAAACCAGAGTAACCAGATTAAATAAAACTCAATTCCTTTAAAAAATGTTTACACTATATGTTCAGTTCTAAAACTAATCTAGCAAATTGCTTCCCGGCTGCAATTCTGTATTTCATAGCTCATATCTTTATGTTTAATATGACATGATGGCAGTTTATATCAGTACCTGTTAATGTAGCATCAGATATTATGATACCGTAAACTGGGGAACATAATGTTGGGAGATAGTTATTGCAGCTGAACTTCCGAACATGATACATATGAGATCTATTTAAGACGAGGGCATTTTGATTAGAAAAACCAGCTGCACTTAATCAAATTTAAAGTGGTGACAAGGAGAAGAATGTGACCTACGGATTCTGTCTGAAGAGCTCTCGGTCCGCGCAGGAGAGCTGGACACACTGCTGCTTCGATGAGAGGATGGATGGCTGCCAGGTCGTCGGCCCTCTTCAAGAGAAGGAGCAGGAGAAGGGCTGTCTGGAACACGTTCCTAGACCCCAGGAAAAACAGTTGCAAAAAAAAGGCAATGTTAAACTAATCCTCTGTGGTTTCCAAACATCAGTTCCCTCAATTGGACCTCCCTCCTCAATCACAACCTACTCTTTCCTCTGTTGAGGTGTCCAGGATTTGCAGAGTATTTTCAAAGGAAACTTGGCAATTTTAGGACACTAGACCTTGTGTTTTAGTATGCAATGTGAGTGCTGCTCATCCCATCAGGCTTTGAAACTGCCTTCTGGACTGCTTATAAAAATAAGGTTTTTGTTTTGCTTGTGAATGTTGTTTTTTTTCTCACTTCTGTGTGCATGCTGTTGAATTGGAAATCTACATTTTGTTTACTAGCTTGTAGACCATAGCCTTATGTGATGAGGAACAATGTACTTTTGTAAATAAATAAAGACCAAACATTGTTGTTTTAGCTTATACTGAATTTGACTCCACATTTTCATTTCAAAGGGGATTCTTGAGCAGTAAGATCTTACAGAACTGCTCTGGATCATAAAGAAAATTTAATCTCCCTACCAAACCTATACCAGTAATGTGGCTGATAGTCCAAATGTCTGATGATACTATGGAGCACAAACCTGGAATGAACCACATTTTTTGGAAGAGTGTGGCTATATCACTACTTCAAAATGGGGAAAAAATTCACACTTTTCTGTCCAGGGAGAAGCCTGGCATGGTAACCAGGAGGAGCTATGATACACTTGAAGATGTTGCTTGATTTTGAAAATTGGAGCACAAGGGCTGTGATGGTTTGAACTGCACTTCTGCCATGTGAGAACAGTCAATATGTAGCAGATAGATATATCTGCTATTTACACAGACCTTTGACAGAAACAATAAACAAAGGGAGCCGAGTGCAGAATAGTCCTTTCTAGAAAATTCTCTGTCTTTCCCTGCAGTTTCCTCTTTATTGCTAATAGATCCCAAGACTCTATTTTACTGCTAAAATATGTGTGAGTTAGGTTGGTTTGGTCGAATAGTGACAAAAGTAAATAGTTCCTATAAAGGAAATCTACTGGGGGGACTGCAAATGATAAACTAGAGTTTTTGTGGTTGTGGGGTTGGTTTTTTTTCCTTTTGATAATTGAAATGCTGACCCTAATGAAAAAGAAGAAAAAAAAATAACCCATAGCAAAAACAACAAACAAGCCAACAACTGAGTACATTCAACTCACTAAAAGCTTTTGGTAATGAAAGAATACAATTAGTATGTATTTAATAATACATATAAAAACTTGCTGCAAATGCCTAGAAGTTTTCAAGAAAAGAGCATCATGTTCCTCCCGCCAAGAATTGCTTCTGCAGCAGTCATTATTTTTCATGCACAGTAGCTAGGTGAATATTTCGTTGAATACATTGCTATGAAACTTAGCAACATGACCATCTATAGTAATCAATAGATTTGTTCCAGGTAAGCTTTATAATAAATATTTGCTGAACTTGAGATTCTGATTGCAAAGGGATTCAATGAGCCTATTGATGGAGTGGGAGAAGACCTTTCAGAGCAGTGTTTCAAGACATTTAAGTGGATTCCACTTTAATAATCTCAGGTTTTTAAGTCAAAAACATTGATGAGGATAGTTTAACTGCATCATAGCTCTAGGCTTATTATGACTTTGATTGTGTTTATATGTCCATGAACCGGGTATTCAAGAGGAGGATTATAATGCAGATGTTTTCAGAATGTAGAAGATTTATTTCTTTAGATTTAGGAGGATTTAAGCATGCACAGAGTACAGATTTGGTATAAATTGGAACACGCTATATTTAATCATTCATTTAATATATAATTTCACTGTTTGGCATACAATGTATTGTTCTTAGAAGGGTTTCATTAAAATGAAATCCAGTGAGCACATAAGATTTGAATACAGAGCTGCAGAGTAAATTAATTTATTTAAACAGCTTAATTTGTTTATCCTATTTATTTATGTGCGCTTTTACAGCACGTATTATGAGATGGAGAGAGCAAAAGGAATGCACAGGACAACAAAATATAATTACTGCACAAACAAAAAAGATAATGAGTTTTATTCACATGTAATACGACATAGAAGACAATCTCTATGAGAAAACTATATATGCTGGCTTTATCAATTAATTTGTAAAATATTCTTTAACCCCAACAAAAAATTGTATTGAACTATGCAGAAATGGGAAATAAATTAATTTAATACTTTAGCTCATTTTTTATATCCTTGTTTCATAATTCCACAATCAATAATATAGTCTATAGCAATTTTTTGTCTTTATCAAAACTAGCTGCAATAAGAAATGGAAATGCTACTAATAATAAATTGAAATACTCTGTACCTCTAAAAAATCATAGTGATAAACTAATGGTGCTGGACTATCAATATAAGCTGTCGTCCGTACTACAGATTTTGTGTAGAAAAGATGGATTTTGCCTGTGGTAAAATATTAACTTTACATTTATACTTCACTTTAAAATTTTTCAGAAGAGGAAATGTGCAAAAATGTGTTCAGTAAATAACTCAGATGATAAGAGCTATTTTGTAACTTCTGCAAAATGGCACTTTTGCACAGGTCTACATGACACAGCATAGAAACAGTATTTATTGCATTATAAACCTGGCAATAGAAACCACCTACTGTACTGTCCACTGTCCAGTATTTCTCCTGAAACTTGTCCACTCCCAGGAAAAACTGAATTCCATTTAATTAAAGATACATCTAGAGAACCTGTTATTGGCTTGTGCTGTAATTAGTCTTGTTGTCTCCCAACATAGAAATAAATAAATAAATAAAATCTGAGTTATTTTGCTAAAATAAAGTATGAGGAAACCATGTAGGATTCAGTTGGAAATCAACATATCTGAATGTAAGTATTTAAATCCAGTTTTTACACACAAGCTAGAGATGAAAATTCAGACACCTATACCTAGGATGCCATATCAACTGGCCCACCTTGAAGGTAAATGTCTCCCATTTCAGTCAATTGAGATATCGACAATAAAGTCAATGGAGCCTCCTCCAAAACCAGATACCTACGGCTTAATTCAGCTGCCCGCATTTGAGCCACTGAAGGGTTTTGAGATGTCCACATCAGGTTGACAGAGAGGACCTACAAAAGATCTGCTGCCTTTTGGAATGCCAAAAATGTTATCCTTGCATTATTGGCTGATAAGCTGAATAGCTGCTAAAACTCTATTGACAATATTTACTAGAAAAAAAGAAATACAGAATTATTTCTTTTTTTATGTTTTATGTTTATAAATTATTACTTATTTATGTTTGTAAAACATAACCCTCACTAGCCAACTTTTTTCTCTATTTTTTTGCTTCCCTATTTGTTTCTACAGGTACTCATAAGTAAAAAGTAGTGTGAACAATTTAAGGCATATGTAGCAATTTAACATATGGTTTACCAACTTTTCAAAATTGGTAAGACTCTCCTACACTAAGCCATGGGCAACACACTCTTATGGGTCAAATTTGGAATATTCCTTATCTTGGTGCTCTTTATAATCTGATCCAAATCATGAATCCTAAGCATTTGAGAATCTGACATTTAACTCCTCCAAAAGTGTTCCACCATATATGAAACTTTCACTTGCAGGAGATGCAAAGCATTTTCCTGTACTCTTACTCCACTACCATTATTCTCAATATCAAGACCATTTCATAAATAACATAGTTGTTCCTGTGACATTGGGCTTTTTTCTTTTATTTTGTAAAAACAGGTAAAAGATTTTAATGGTCAGAGATTTTAAGTTGTGAGAATCAAGTTGTGTCTATAATCAAAAACCCCTCCAATTTTCTTCCAGAATACCACATATCACTCACAACATAACACTGTCTTGGTCTCTCCAAGTAAAACAGAAGTGTCTTGATGTATTTACCAACTTTTTTCTACCTTTTTCAAACAACTCTTTGCATAGATGCAAAGACCATACTGTAAGATCTCATTTCAAAAGTTCCTTTTAAGTAACTTCTTATTTAGATTTATTTTAAGATATCAGTAATGGTATCCAAAAGACCATAAATACTTTCTTCCCTACCCTATATATATTTTTTTCCTCTTACCAGGCCACAAAGGTAGTTATTCAATATTAATCCCTTTTTATGCCTCTTTTCTTTCTGCTCAAGCAGCATGTTTTCATTGTTTGAAAAGTGCCTCATTACAAAAAGTCCTCCTCAAAAACCTACACAAACTTGATGGAGTTCAACTGTTTGCCCCTATATCGCTATCCACGAGAACACCTTTCAGTTAATATCTGTAGGATTAATCCCCCTGCTCCTAAGAAGACACAATCACAAGAAGACACATATCACAATGAAGTGATATCTTCAAGGTTCTCACCACCTCAGTCTTTCCACAAGATTCTTTATTCTTTGCCATTCCATTTCCTTAGTGATAAAATTCCAGAATCCTGATAAAATTTGAATATGCCTATTTCCAATAGCCAACCAGTTTTGCACAGCTTTATTTCCTGCATATTTCACTCCTACAGGTATTTTCAGTCTAGGCTTCTTCCTTTGTTCTAGTTTGCTTCTCCATAAGGCTCATCTTGTGGGCTTAGTCATCCTTTAATTTTAGTCAAGGCCTGAGTTCTAGACATGCATCTAAGTATAGCTGCAGCAGTACACTGCTAATAAAACCATTTGGCTACCTCGATGCTCTTCCGTGTTGAACATTCTCCTTTAAGGATGTTTGTGCTTTAAGTCATTGAAGTGCAGAGGACAAAATCACTTATTTTCAGTGTCATACTTTTGAATAGTTCAGGTAAATTCATACCGGGGAAAGGATATATGATGCACACTGTTTCATACATTATTAATTTAAAAAAAAAAAATCAAAAAAGGTTTTAATCAGGAGTGGTTTACAATATTCCTGCCTTTCTGGGAAGGCATCTGGCTTCCAATCTTTTTTTCTGGTAAAATTAGAGTAACCTCTTTCACAATGACCAAAACACAGACTTCTTACTCTTTGGTTCCTTGCTGACCTATTTTTTGTGTGAGGTT